CCCCCCCCCCCATCCTTCCCTAGGTTCCCCGGGACAGCTGACGGAGCCCAAGAAACCCAAGAAGGGGAAGAAGGAAAAGCCTCCCAAACCCACCAAGAAGCCCAAAGAGAGACCCCGGGGCTCTAAGAAAGACAGGGACAGGGGCAAGGACAAGCCCCCCAAGAAGCCCAAGGAAAAGCCCCCAAAAGGCTCCGAAAAACTCCCAAAAGGCTCCAAAAAGCCCAAAGAGAAGGCACCCAAGGCCACCAAAACACCTTCCAGCAAGAAGCCACCAGAACCACCAACTAGCCACCCAGAGCCCTCTGCTGCCCCACAGCCCTCATGGGGTGAGGACAATGTGGGGACGCCCCTGTCCCCAGAGCAGCCTTTGCCCTACGAGGAAGAAGAGGATGGAGGTGGCCGAGGTGAGTCTTGGGGATCCCGGCTCACCAACAGCCAGGGTGGGGGTCTTGGACACCAGGGTGTCACCCCATGTCCCGCTCGGCTCCCTGGTGGCACCCCACAGCTGGCTGGGCTTTGTCCTCTGTAGGGGTCCCCACCAGGGTGACCCCCTCTGTCCCTGCTGGGGGGGAATATGATAGGTCTCCTCAATGGGATTTTCTTTCGGTGTGGGGCTGGCGGGGGGACCAACCTGGGGGGGCTGCAGGGCACCCCAGCCCCTCATTCTGTGTCCCTGTCCCCAGAAGAGCTGGAGGAGCCACTGAGCGAGCCCTGGGGGGAGGATTGGCGCCCCGAACCTGAGCCTGGTGAGTGCCCTGTCCCCGGGGCCACATCCCTGCAGCCCAGGGCCATCTCCCTGCACCTTTGGGCCACCTCCCTGAGTCCCAGAGCCACCTCATTGCACCCTGGTGCCTCCTCTCTAATCCCAAACGCCACCTCCCCGCTCCCTGCACCCCAGGGCCACCCCTGTGTCCTTTTCCCCACGTGCCCCCTCCCCACAGATGTCCCTGAGGAGATGGAGCCACCGACACTGGACTACAACGAGCAGCTGGAGCGGGAGGACTACGAGGACTGTACGGTGCTGGGGCATGGTGGGATGGGGAGGTGCTGGGGTCCCCTGGCCTCCAGGGAGGGATGGAGGGGGTGTCTCCCCCTTGCTCTCCCTCCTTGCACCCCTCAAAATCAGTGCCACCCCCTGTTTCTGTCCCCAGTCGAGTACATCCGCCGGCAGCAGAAACCCCGCAAGCCCCCCAGCAGGAAAAAACCTGAGAGAGTCTGGCCCCGGCCTGAGGACCCCTGTAAGTGGGGGGACAGTGGGACAAGGGGGAGGTGGCACCACTTGGGGTGGGGGGCAGTCCCCAGCCGTAGGGACCCAGAGGAGCATCATTTTGGGGCAGCCTGGAGCTGGGATGGACATGGGAATTGCATTAGGGGTGCCATGGGGATCCCCTGTGGGGACATAGAGGAATCCTGTGGGGACATGAGGGGCACAAGGATCTTGTAGGGGCATAGGGAATCCTGTAGGACCATGCTGACCCTGTGGGGACACAGGGGACCCTGCAGGGACATGGTGGTCCCCACAGGGGCACAGTAGAGGCATGGGGAGCCCATAGGGATGCAGGGGTACCATAGGGGTACGCTGGCCCCATGGGGAACCCTTCGGGGTGCAGCAGAGGTGTGGGAACCACACAGGGACACAGGGTACCCCAATTCCCTTCCCCCGTCCCCAGCAGGGCCCCTTTCGCCCTCCCCAGCAAAGCCAGAGGTACCACCCCCACAGCCACCCCCCCCACCCATCCCGGTGACCGAAGGGGACTACGAGGAGGGCTTCGAGCCACCGGACTACGATGACCGTGAGTGACGAGCCGGGGAATGGGGCGGGTGGAGCATGCAGGGCACCCCAGGGCCCCCATCTCCAGGGAGCCCTGCCCCCCCCACCCTAAGGGGGTGTCCCAGCCCCTCACTGTCTGCACCCGCAGTGGCATATGGGCTGCCCCCCCCACCGAAACCCAGGAAACACCAGGAGAAAGGGGACGAGATGGAGACAGACGAGGAGAAACTCAAACCCTGTGAGAGACATCAGCAGGGGCTGGGTGCTGGGATGGGTGGCATGTCCCTGGGGTGGGTGGCACGTCCTCACTGTAGGAGGCACATCCCTGGGGTGGGTGGCACGTCCCCAGGGTCAGTGCCACATTCATGGGCTGAGTGGCACATCCACAGGGTTAGTGCCAGGTTCATGGGGTGGGTGTCAAGTGCCCAACAGCTGCTCTCCTGTCCCAGGGAAGCCGAAGAAAGGTGCCAGCAGCAAGGAAGAGGAAGAGGACCCCTGGGTGGAGGAGAAGGGCCAAGATCGCAAAGGTGGGTGCCAACCCCCCACCCCCATCCCCTCGCCACCATCCCCTCCAGGCTCTGCCCCCCTCATGCACACCTTTTCCAGGAAAAACCAAAAAGCCAGGAGGGAAGAAGTGGGAGCCAGATGAGGACGAATGGGCCCCTCCGCAAGAGAAGACAAGTGAGCGTCCCCATTCACGGGTGGAAGCGGGCATCCCAGTGTTGGGGGGTGCCCATCACCTTCTCACTCCGTCCCCATTGTCCCCAGAATGTCCCCCCATCGGCCTGGAGTCCCACCGCATCGATGACGACCAGATCCTGGCCTCCTCCATGCTGCGCCATGGGCTGGGTGCCCAGCGCGGGCGCCTCAACATGCAGGTGGGATTCACCCACCCCACACCCACTCACCCCCCCACGCCCATGGACCCCCCCACTCACATCCCCCTCGCTGTCCCCACCACAGGCAGGCACCAACGAGGACGATTTCTTCGACGGGGCTTGGTGCGCTGAGGACGACAGCCGGGCACACTGGATCGAGGTGGACACCCGCCGCACCACCAAGTTCACCGGCGTCATCACCCAGGGCCGTGACTCCCAGATCCAGTACGGGGACGGGGACAGGCAAAAGGGGACAGATCCAGGGACTCAGGGTGTGGGGGAGCGGCTTAGGAACTCACCCCCCCTCCCCAACCTCTCCCCTTCTTCCTGCAGTGAGGACTTTGTCACCAGCTTCTATGTGGGCTTCAGCAACGACAGCCAGAACTGGGTGATGTACACCAACGGCTATGAGGAGATGGTACGGGACCCCAGAAGAGGCTGGTTGGGGGAGAGGGGTGGGTACGACAGGGACCCTCTGCCTGCCCTTGGCCACATCTCGCCCCCCTTGGCAGATGTTTTACGGCAACGTGGACAAGGACACGCCGGTGCTGACCGAATTCCCCGAGCCCATGGTGGCCCGTTACATTCGCATCTACCCCCAAACGTGGAACGGCAGCCTCTGCCTCCGCCTCGAGGTCCTGGGCTGCCCCCTCTCCAGTAAGAGTCACCTCAAAGTGGGGTTACACCACTCATGGAGGGGGGGGTCACAGCTCCCCAGCCCCCCACCACTGTGTCTTTGTCCCCTCCACAGCCATCAGCAGCTACTACACCCAGCAGAACGAGGTGACCTCCACCGACAACCTGGATTTCCGCCACCACACCTACAAGGACATGAGGCAGGTGAGCACTTCCGTGGTGGTGGGCACCTCTGTGGTGACAGGCACCTCTGGGGGAGGGTGGGCTTGGCCCCACCATGTGCTGCCCCCGCCACTGCCTGCCTCCTCTGTACCCACAGCTGATGAAGGTGGTGAACGAGGAGTGTCCCACCATCACCCGCATCTACAACATCGGCAAGAGCTCACGGGGGCTGAAGATCTACGCCATGGAGATCTCCGACAACCCGGGCGAGCACGAGACGGGTGAGGAGGGGAGGGTAGTGGGGGGGGAGGCAGGGCTGCAGTCCTGTGGGGCAGGCAGGGTGCGGGTACCACGCTGAGCCTGCCCGCACCCTGCCCTCAGGCGAGCCCGAGTTCAGGTACACGGCGGGGCTGCACGGGAACGAGGTGCTGGGCCGGGAGCTGCTGCTCCTGCTGATGCAGTTCCTGTGCAAGGAGTACCAGGATGGCAACCCACGGGTGCGGAGCCTGGTGACCGAAACTCGCATCCACCTCGTGCCCTCCCTCAACCCCGACGGCTACGAGCTGGCCCGTGAGGCGGTAAGGGGATGGCGGGAGGGGACGGCGGGGTGAGGGGATGCAGCCCCCAGGCTCACTGCTGCTCCGGGCTGCCTGCAGGGCTCTGAGCTGGGCAACTGGGCGCTGGGCCACTGGACAGAGGAGGGCTATGACCTCTTTGAGAACTTCCCCGACTTGGCCTCAGCGCTGTGGGCAGCCGAGGAGAGGAAGCTGGTGCCCCACAAGTTCCCCAACCACCATGTCCCCATCCCGGAGCACTACCTGGCTGAGGATGCCACGGTGAGCCCTGGCACGGGGCACTGGGGCGGGGTGGTGATGGGGAGATGGCGTCTCACACCACTGTGCCCACCTTGGCAGGTGGCAGTGGAGACACGGGCCGTGATGGCGTGGATGGACAAAAACCCCTTTGTGCTGGGAGCCAACCTGCAGGGTGGGGAGAAGCTGGTTTCCTACCCCTTTGACACAGCCAGGCCCGCCAGTGAGATGCCAGCAGCTGCCCCTCGCCCGCCGGATGACTACGAGGACAACCCTGAGCTGCAGGAGGCACCTGACCATGCCATCTTCCGCTGGCTTGCCATCTCCTATGCCTCAGCCCACCTCACCATGACCGAGACCTTCCGCGGGGGCTGCCACACACAGGACATGACCAACGCCATGGGCATCGTGCAGGGGGCCAAGTGGCACCCCCGGGCTGGCAGTAAGTGGGCACCATGCCATACAGCATGGGCTTGCCTGCCCCATGCTCCCGCCACGTGAAGGTGCGAGGGAGCGGCTGGGTGGGCACTTGATTGTTTGTCTTGCAGGCATGAACGACTTCAGCTACCTGCACACCAACTGCCTAGAGCTTTCCATCTACCTGGGCTGCGACAAGTTCCCCCACGAGAGTGAGCTGCAGCAGGAGTGGGAGAATAACAAGGAGTCACTGCTCACCTTCATGGAGCAGGTAGGAGCTGGGCCATGCCGGGCAGGGAGCCGGGTGCCTGCTGTGCCCCACACAGCTCCTCTTGTCCCCTTTCCTCCCATAGGTCCATCGGGGCATTAAGGGCTTGGTGACGGACCAGCAGGGAGAACCCATCGCCAACGCCACCATTGTGGTGGGGGGCATCAACCACAACATCAAGACAGGTAAGGTGTGGGGTATGGTGCCAGGCAGGGAGCAGGCAGCACCACGCTGCCCCCTGCACCCCCTGCTGCCTCCCTTTGCTGTCCGCAGCCAGCGGCGGGGACTACTGGCGCATTCTGAACCCGGGCGAGTACCGCGTCTCAGCTCGGGCCGAGGGCTACAACCCCAGCGTCAAGACCTGCAACGTCTTCTATGACATCGGGGCCACCCAGTGCAACTTCGTCCTGTCGCGCTCCAACTGGAAACGCATCCGGGAGATCATGGCCATGAACGGGAACCGGCCCATCCGCCGCATCGTGCCTGGTCGCCCCATGACGCCCCGCGAACGCATGCGCCTGCGAATGCGCCTCCGGCACCGCATGCGGCTCCGGGAGCAGATGAGGCTGCGGCGTCTCAATGCCACCACGGCTGCCAGCGGCCCCACGGCCCCACTGCCCACCACGGCCCTGCCCTTCCCCTTCAGCAGCACCACCTATGCACCCTGGAGCCAAGAGCCACCCACGGCCGGCACCTGGGAGATGGAGACCGAAACAGAGGTGGTGACCGAGCTGGTGACGGAGGAGGAGACCTGGGAGCTGGGCACGGGGACAGCGCAGCCTTTCACCACGGCTGAGACCTACACCGTGAACTTTGGTGACTAGGAGATGCTTGTCCCCTCGCTCCTGCCTTGAGCCAAGGCTGGACGCTCGTGGCTGGTTTGGCTTCACTGTCGCAGGCTCCGGCATCCACTTCTGAAGTCTTCCTCGAGCCCCAGGCAGCCCGCCTCAGGTGGGCTCCAGCTCCTCACCGTGCTGCTTCCTAGGACTGCAGGGCACGCTGTGCCAATGCTTGCCCCCACGGCTGGGCGGTTGCTGAGCGTCCCCCTTGCTGGGCTGCAGAGCGGGGCAGGAAAGGATGTGCTGCCCCGTTCCTCGGGGCTGGGCAGTGCCAGCCCCTGCCTGGCCCGGGAGGGGGTGACGCGGGACCCAGCTCTCGCCCCATCTCTGTCTCCCAGCACTTGGGGGGTGGCAGGGATGGGCCCACGCTCCCAGGCAGGGTCCACATGGAGGCAGGCACAGCCCCTGTCCCCTCCACACAGTTTTTTGTTACACAAATAAATCAAGTTATATTGGTACAAGCATCTCCTCTCTCTCATGCCCTGGCAGCTCCAAGCCAGCCCTCCCAGGACAGACGGGGATGGCAGCAAGGTGGCAGGGTGCCAGGACCTCCCAAGCGGCCAGGGGTTTATGGAGTCCATGCCCTGCCTGCCCAGTCAGTGCCCAACCTCCATGTCCCCATCATCGTCCTCAGCCCCGAAGCCGGAGAAGCTGATGGGCTGGCAGCTGAGGTCACGCAGGTTGATGAGGCAGGCAGTCTGCGTGGTGCAGAAGGCGGGCACCGTCACCAGCAGGACCTGCTGCCCGTCCTCCCCTGCAAAGACAGGCAGGTGTCAGGCGGTTGGCACAGCGCGGGTTCCCAGCCCCAAGTGGGGATCAGGGGTGCTGCTGTGGGACCCACCTTTGAGCAACTTGGACTGGAAGCGGGGAGCGTTGCCACAGAAGTAGACGTGAGGGCAGTCGGTGAGGATGAAAGGGTCTGATTTGTAAAAGGGGTAGCAGCCTGGGAAGGATGGAAATGAGGAGGGGAACCTGCACCCCTTCGGAGGGCAAACACTCCCCCAACCTTGGCGCCCACCCAGCTCTTGCCTTACCCAGGGTGTCTGGGGCCGTGGGGCTGATGTGTCCCGCCAGCAGCGTCCACTCCAGGATCTCCAGGTAGTCGTCCATGCCGCTGTATTTGAAGATGTCACTGACGTTTTGCCCTGATGTCCCCAAAAACCTACATTTTGGGGGAAGGAAGGACAGATTCGGATGGCTGTACTTGCCAGGACTTGCTCCACGATCCTATGCTGCCAGCAATTGTCACAGAGTTGGTGGCATCCCAGGCTTTTTTACCTGATTCCGTCCATGTCGGCCTGGTAGGGGTTGGTGACCAGCCGGAGCGTGGAGTAGGCACTGGCGAGGGGCAGCATGCAGTGATGCAGCGGTTGCTGGGGCAGCGTGTAGTTGGTGGGGTCAAACTCACCAGGCATCACGTCCACGGGTACGGAGGTCTGCGGGCAGAGCAAGGATTACCGGAGATGGCCAGACCACTCTCCTCTGAAGGGAGCTCAGAGTAAAGCCCTGGCCGGAGCTTGCTGCTGGGCTCTGCCTCGCTCCCCAATTTGGCTCCTGACACTTCCCTGCAGGAAGCCCAGCTTGGCTTCACCGCAGAGACCAAATGCCGGGAGAGAGATCTGAAGCTGGGCTGCGCGCTGCCTCCACGGCTTGCTGCGTTCCCCTGCAGCGCCATATGCAATGCTTGAAGAGGGGCCAGAGCATTACCCACCCCACAGCCCCGGGCTGCTGGCTGAGCATTGCTTCCCTGGTTTAGGAGCCAGGCCCCCTCCCTCAGAAGGTATCCAATTCCCCAGCCAACCCTATCCCACTCCAAGCACTCACGCAAAGCTGCAGCAGGATCTCATCCAGCATCTTCACAGCCTCCACGCTCGCTGCCTGGGTCTTCTTGGTCAAGTACTTGGCCTGGGCCAGAGGGAAGAGAGTGAGGAAACAGCCTCTGCCACCTCTGATCCCTCCTTCTCCACCTCCACGGGACTTCCTGTGCCAGCTCGGGCCGCAGGGAGCATCGCCAAGGCTGAAGACCCCTTCCCCGCTGTACCTTGTTGATGGTGTCCCGGCCCTGGGTGTTCTGGCTCAGCAGGTTCCCAGCCAGGATGACACGAGAGATGTGTGCAGCACGGCTCTGCTGTCCCTCAGCGCCCAGCTGCCCGGTCACCACGTCCACCATCAGCTGGGTGCTCAGCAGGGCCTCACCGCTCCCACTGCCCAGCCCCAGCCCCGACACCAGCAGGACGAACCTGGGTGAGAGGCAAAGGCTGCAGCCGAGCTCCCTGCCCCAGCCCTGCCCAGCAGCCACGCCAGGGTTGCCCACATTGGAGGTGTGAGGGACACCAGTCCCCATCTGCTATGTCTCCAAGCACGAGGCACTGACTCCAATGGGCACACAGGGCAAACGGGAGAGGTGGGGAAGGACTCTTTACCAGGGAGTCATGGTGTTGCTTTTCCTGCCCTTGGAGAGTTTGGACCCAGCAAGGCTGGCAAAGCAAACCCTCTTCTCCTCCCCTTGGGAGGAGGATGAGATAGGCATCAGAGACTCATGGGGCAGATGGAGAGGGTCCAGAGGAGGCCACAGAGATGCTGGGAGGGCTGGAGCCCCTCTGCTGTGAGGGGGCGCTGAGAGAGTTGGAGAGGGTCAGCCTGGAGAAGAGAAGGCTCTGGGGAGACCTCCGGGCCCGTTCCAGTCCCTAAAGGGGCTCCAGGAAAGCTGGGGAGGGACTCTTGATCAGAGAGGGGAGCCATAGGAGGAGGGGGAAGGGTTTGACACTGAAAGAGGGGAGATGGAGCTGAGATGTGGGGAAGAACTTGTTTGGTGTGAGGGTGGTGAGAGCCTGGCCCAGGTTGCCCCGAGAAGCTGTGGCTGCCCCATCCCTGGAGGGGTTCAAGGGCAGGTTGGAGGGGGCTTGGAGCAATGTGGTCTGGTGGGAGGTGTCCCTGCCCAGGGCAGGAAAGATGATCTTTGAGGTCTCTTGAAATCCAAACCATTCTGTGATTCCATGAAATGGTCCCCAGGGCTCAGGGACACAGCAAGGGACATAGTGCCAGCCCTGCTCCTGTCACTGTGGAGACTCACCGGTCTGAGTCGGGGCCTTTCCAGGGCAGTGGCCGGGGCAGGTTGGCGAAGCAGTGATCCTCCACCAGGAACTTGCCGTCGTCCTGCTCGGAGCCATACACAGCAAAGACGGTCCCTATCGCAGAGAGCAGGCAGTCAAGCCCCCAGACAGAACCCGCGAGGTGGCTCCCAGCGAGGTGTCACTGTCACCTTACCTGTCACCAGCCGCTGCACCTCAACAGCTCCTTCCAGCTTGATCCGCTGCAGCTCATCCTCCAGGATCAGCTCATCAGAGGGGTGGATGTACTTGGGCAGGGGAGGCTGAGGCACCAGGTTGTGCTGGGGGGGGACAACGGGGCAGGCTGTGACGGCCTCAGTGAGGCCAAGTTGCCCCAAAGGGCCCTTCCCCCCCAGCCAAACCCTGCTGGTGGAAACCAGAGTGTGGGCGGGTGACTCATGAGAGCTGCCGCCATGGCCCCCGCCACCAGCCCGGCCACTGCCTCCGCTCTCGCTTTGGTGGCCCCGGCAGCTCTGGGCGCTGCTCAGCCCCCAGAGCTGCTGGTTTCACTTAATGTTTCCCCGCAGCAAAGCCGAGCCGAGCACAGCTCCCTGGCCGGGCAGGAAGCAGCCCAGCCAGGCACTGGGGGACAGAGCTCTGGCTCGCCTTGGGAAACGTGTTTGTAATCACCACCGGGGCAAGCTCTTTGCTGCCTTTGAACCCTGCCCAGCAGTCATGGTGCTGGCTACGTGCCATGAGGAGCAGGCTCCACACATCCCAATGTGCTCCCTGCGAGCTGGCAGGGAGTAGATGGGTCCCTGGCAGGTGGGATGGCAGAGCTCCCCTGATACCCCTCTTCATCCTTCTCTTCTGCAGCAGGGAAAGGTGGTTTGCTCTGCCAGCCCCACTGGATCCAAACCCTCCAAGAGCAGGAAAAGCAACCCCACGCAGCCGCATACAGGATCCATGCTGGCACAGAGGGGTGGCACCAAGAGCAGCAGTGGCTAGGGATGGGGTGGGCACAGAAAAGATTATACCCCTGCTCCCCAGGTCAAAGCCCTGGCAGTTCCCACTTGCTCGGTCACAGCGAGCACAAGGGAAGCGATGGGAAGCCAGCTGAGATCCCGATGTGTGTTGGCACATCCCCCAGAGCTGTGTGGAGGAGGAGGGAGGGAATGTCCCCACCATTACCTCCTCGCTGATTTCCTGCAGGATGGAGGGCTGCAGCTGCATTGCCTTGAAGAGCGTCCCCACCACACAGCACTTCTCACCCGTCCGCAGCTCGCAGAGCTTCCTCAGTGCCACGCTGGTCCCTGCAGGGAGAAACGGGGCTCAGCCAGCCTCAGGGACAGCCGTGAGGGCAGTCAAGGCTCAGGGCTGGCTGGGACCAGCTGAAAGGGCCCGAATGCTTGGCCAGCAAGAGGCAGTGAGGGAATGTTGCGAAGCCTCTGGTTTTTTCTGGAGGCTCAGAGCCGAATCCACATGTGCAAGCCAGATGGGGCCAACGGATCGTACCAGAGAGCCAACACTGCCTGCAGGCATTTCCTCTGCGTGGAGGGGGGAGGAAAGCCGGGTCATGGCGGGGTCTGGGGGACTCACAGCTCCCAGCCACCACCCAGGACAGCATGCAGAGCTCCCGCTGGACCCATGAGTCCAGCTCTGCCCAGGAAGGGAGGGTGCACGGCTCCAGGATCCTGGGCACTGAGTCGGCACTCCTGTTCCCCATCCAGGAGATGACCCAAACATCTCACTCAGATTTGACAGGCAGGAGAGATCATTCACCACCCCCAAGTCTAATCCTCTGCCCAGGATCCCTGCTGGAAGCCAGGATCCCCATCACAGCTGGGCAATTGGGAAGATCCTGGCACGAAGACAGGTTGTTGGCAAGGAACAGAGTCTCCTCTGCCTGAAAGGCACAAACAGGTCCCTGGGCTTTAGCCAGGGATCCACAGGGAGATACAGGCTGGGGGAACCGACAGTCAGGAGGTGCCTCAGGAGGTGCCAAGAGCATCACAGCCCTAGTGCTTCATCATCTTTGTAGGCAGGGGAGCATTTGCAGACAGCAAAAAAATGCATCTCCCTCACCACAAGCTGAGCCCAAGACTTCTCACCTCACCCATGAGGACTCAGAGGTGCTTCAGCCCCACACTTTACTCGTCCACAGAACTTTCATTTCCCCCTGTTTAAATCAAGCTGTGAAGCCCATCCATCCTGAGCCTCAAGCCCGCCAGGGAGGAGGACTGGCTGCCGGGCTGTTGCTCTCCCAGAACAGCACTGCCAGAGCCCACTGCCGCGCCGGCCCCTCGCTCGGGTCATCCCTTCTGGCTGCCAGCAGTGGGCTGATGTTTCCCCCTCAAACTCTCCCTTTGCTAATCATGCGCCTGACGAACGTGACTGCTGTCCGGTGGAGAGCACCCTGCTGCCATCACAGGCACCCTGGGCTCAGCGGAGCTGGAAACACAGATCCATCCATCCCAGGAATGCAAACACTCAGAGTCAGAAAAAACAATCCCGTTTTAGTTTCTTATTCTTGGCTCTAACCCCCAAATGTGTGTGTTTAGGGGGAGGGGAGCTGCGCTCTCCCAGATTTTGCCTGCAGGCGCTTCTTGCTGTGAGACAAACCCCAGAAAATCGCGTCCCATCACATGTCTCCGGGAAGTGAAGCTTTACAAAACCACTGGTTCCCGTCACCCTTGGCAAAATCCAGGGTTACAGCGCAGGGGCGGCCGGCCAAGGAACAACATCCGCTGTGGAACCGGCACAGCCCGGCGCAGGCCTCACTTCCACGTGCAGCCCCCGGGGCCAGGGAGAGAAAGAAAAACAAGCAGCCGGCCCAAAAACCTCCATAGAAGGGCAAAGCCAAAAGCTCGGCTGGGCCTGAGAGGGGTAAAATTCGATAACAGGCTTTTACCGCGCTGGGGGAGCCATGTGCGTGCCGAGGCAGCCAGAAAGCTCAGCCACTGCGCCCTGTCAGCAGCTTCATCCAGCGCCACCGCCGTTACGCCCTTGGATGGAAAGTCTCGAGTGCGAGGATCCCACCCGCCAACTGCTCAGGCGGCCCCACGGGCGAGGAAACGGCTCCCCCCAGCACAACCGGTGCCTCTCCCCCCCCCCGACAAACCTCACGCTTAACTCGTGCTGGTGACAGCCAGCGGAAGCTTTGAGCTGGCCTGGTGAGCAGGAAAAAAAAAATAATAAAAAAGGCTTTTCTCCGCACAGTTGATGTTTAAATGTGATTTTAGAAACATCAGGACACTGTCTGGTGGAGAAATCATCCCTCCCACAAAGAACCCCGTGGGTTATTCGACGCCTGAATGTGTGTGTGAGTTTCGGCACCAACAGCCAACGCGTGCTGAAAAAATCCCTGAAAAGCTTCCAGCCTGTCAGCCGCGTGGCTTTGCCCTCTGTTCCCAAAGCAGGGGGGGGTTTCCCCAAAGGGACTCACCCCACTTCTGTCGCGCCCGCTCCTCCAGGATGGGCCGCATCTGGATGAGGCGGGCGGCGTAGATATGGGCGTACTGGCGGCTGAAGCTGCGCTCGCCCAGCAGGAAGGGCTGGGAGCAGTCGGCGTACGCCAGGACCGGCACCCGGGAGAAGGTGGAGGTCTCGGTGGAGGGGGGGGCCAGCAAACCCTGCGCCGTGGGGGCCGTCTGCTCTGAGAACATGGTGGGCGCTGGGCTGGAGCAGCGGGGCTGGGCACTGGACGGAGGGTTTTAATGGCAGGGCTGGAAGGCAAATGGGAAAATTAAAGATGTGGGCAAACACCTGGTATCCCCCAGCCATCACCATCACCCCCAAGGTGCCACAAATCCCTCCCTGGAGGCGGCCTCCACCCCCAAACTGACTGACTCCCTTACCCCCCAAAACACGAACCAGACCTAGGTCTAACCCCCTCAAACACTGCATCCCCCCTCCTCCCCTCGCCTCCAACACCAGGGCACCCCCAAATTCATCCTGGTGCCAGGAAAACCCCCCAACACTCCCTGGCACCAAGAGCCCTGTGCAGCCCCCTGGACACCCTCTAAACACATCCTTTGTCATAAAGACTCCCCCCAGGGCACTGCCCAAAAACATACCCTGGCACCAGGACACCTCCAGGATATTCCCTAAAC